GTTTTTTACTTTAAAGACTGGTGGAGTTCCTAAACTGCAGGCCTCCACCTTCAGCAGGCCTTGAAGTATTTAAATGGACTAAATTAATTAGTGGTACAAAATGGCAATATGGAAACATCTATCAGAAATTGCTGAGTTAGCATTCAACACAAGTGAAATTGAGAACACTTCCAACAACAGTGCTGTTGTTTTGCAGAGAAATGGTGAGAAAAAAATGTTTCAAGGTTTTTTTTTGTTTGTTTGTTTTTTTATTTTTATATTTCAGGAATCAAAATGGAGTTTCTTCAAGAAAAAGCTGAAACAAAGCACTAATTTTGAAAATCCAATATATTCAGAGGTATTGCTTCCTATTGTATCCTGCTTTTTCTCAGCCTGTCCTATTTAGCTAATGTGCTGTTGGACTTTGTCCTTGCTTCCCAAGGATAAAGATTGTGGGTAGATTCTGCTGCTAAGCGCAGGTCAGGATGGGTCTGAGATAGTTCTGAGTAAAGTTGCTGAGTCCCAGGTCACATGAAGCTCTCAAGAGGTGTCCATGGCAGCTTTCCCAGCCCAAATACTGCTCTGGGCTCTCACGTGTTGCCTCCAGCTGGCTAGTGCAGTCTGGGACAGCTCAGGGTTCCAGAGCAAATGAGAGGTTCCTGTGCTGCGACTGGGAGCAGAGTGTCTTAGGGGTGCATCACAGTCATTACTTCAGCACTGCACAGGAATTTAACAGCTTTATGTTTTGCACAGACTTGTTTTTTTCCATCCAGCCAAGTTCTTGAGTTGGCTCTTTTAAGACAGTATGCCAACTGGTGACGTGTGCTGGAAGAATTGTCCCATGGCTGAGTATGAAGCTTCTGGGTTCTTCTACTCACTTGAGAAAGGTTGGATTAATTGGCTCCTCCTAAAAACTGCTCACAAAACAAAGTGGTACCACTGTAATTCATACTAAAAACTTCATATTTCTATATGCAAGTATATTCCTGACATTAAACGTTGAAGTGAAAGTCAGGGTAAGTTTGCAGTAATGTATTTGTCTGAGCTGTACTGAGCTGGAAATAGTATTTAAGTTTTGTGATAGGTACTGATTTACAGAAATAATATATACATTATACTTCAACAAAATATTTGGATATTTATTTAGCACTTCTAAAAGTTAAGGCTGAGTATATTGAACATTAGAATGTAAATTTGAATTTTATGATTATCATTTCAGATGGAAAAGGAACAGCAACAGGATACAGAAAATGTTCCTACTCCTTCTCCCTCACTGCCTCCTAAGATTACTCTGAAGAGAGACCATGCATTAGCTTATACAGCAACAGAGGATACATTTAAAGACACCGCCAATCTTGTTAAAGAGGACTCTGTTGTATAACTAGGTAACTCATTTAGGGAAAAATTAGACACATCCATTTGCACATATTTTTTTTTATAACAGAAGAAAGTTCACATTCAAATGCTTTATAAAAATATATACACCTTTCAGCCAGTGGCTGGAGATGTATGTTGAAACTATGCCTTGTTTTTTTTGGTGTTTTTTTTGGTTTGTTTGTTTGTTTTGCTTTTCTTTTTGACAAATGCCAACTGCTATTTTTATGAACAATTATCATGATGTACTATATGTATATCTTTGCACTGAGCTGTCTGAAAGTAATGTTATATATTGTATATGTGTAAATTTTTGAAAGATTATCTTGTTTGTTGATACTGCTAGTACAAAACTGTGGAATTGGTTGTATGTTTAGGGATAAATTCATTATATAAATGCTTAAACAAAAAAAAAAAAACAAGGCAAATATAGGAACATTACTGATTTACAGAATCTTTGGATATATAATATTTGAAACAGCACCTTCAAACACTTGTTCTGGTGCATCTTTACCACCTATTTTGTGTGTACTGTATGCAAAAATGGGTGTCTGTTTATCTTGCGTTAAGCAGAAAATGGAAGAGTCCTAGTTATGCTGAATAGTTACCTGTGCAAAACACTATTCTTGCAATATTTTTTCTGAGATAGAATAATTTCCTCTCAATTTGTAAGACTCCTACTTTTCCTTTATATCCCAATTAAAACACTCCATTAATAGTGTTCTTAAAAAGATCTGATATATTTAGATTGTAGTGCCATGAATAATTTCATAGTTAATTTAATGAGATTTTTCTCCTGCTCATTAATGGAACAACTCTGTTCTTGGCTGGAGTCTCTGAAAGTCATTTGTACTGTTAAATGAAGTAGCTAAATTTCTAAAACACCTTATTTTCAAACAGTGAAATACAGAAGATACTGGTTCATTTAAGAAGCAATTCAACTTTTTTAATGTGAAAATTTAATATTATTGACTATTTATTTCCTGAGGTGGACATAATAGAAAGGGAAAGTTTCTACTGATAAAATCCTTGTAGCTAACTGGTTATTTCCATGACCTTTTATCGGAATGTACTGTACATCTTACTAGCTTTTCTGTGACCACGTAGTTACCACAACATGAACCATTGGAGGAGAGTGTGAGTACCACTGTAGGAACGTGTTATTCAGCATTCCTGGCTAGCTACTCATGTTTTAAAGATTTCTAAATTTTTAATAATTGAGACTTCTGCTACTAGATTGTTTTATACCTGACTTCTCAAAATACATAGTATTTCTATTAGACTACTTGTAATTATGTTGTAATGTACTTTGATTAGAAAAGACAACTGGAAAATGATGCTGCTGAATAAGTCTAATAAAGGTATTATTTTATCATATCTTCATTCCATATCTTTTTGGGTCAAGCCTATATGCACTTCTGAGTGGAGACTGCAATGCACTTACAAGAAGAAACAGTTCATTATATAAAGTAAAATAAGAGTAGTGTTTACTCGTTCACACAGCGTGTGAAGTGGTTGATAGAAATGCAATTGAAGTAACCACTGTAAGTGTGAAAACTTTGAAGCAAGAAGCTATTAGTGATTATAAAAGACTTTGAATATTGAGATGGTATAATTGATGAAATTCTTAGTCTAGTAAGCTTTTGTATCTCAATACTTGAATGTAGAAAATTCCTTAGAACCTGGGACATAACCTACATCTCTGCAAGGCTGTGAGGAATTACTTCTTTTAAAAACAGTATGCTATTCTTTAAGGAATAAGTTCACAGTCCTTTAACCATCTTAGGGAGAAAAGGTAGAGGGCTGATATTTCTGTAAGACTTGCATGCAGTTATACACCGCAAAAAGAGACATCGGTTTTGTAAATAATATTTCAAACTGATTAGTTGCAGCCCAGTTTTGCTTAAAGTTGCCTAAAGGTGTCAGCTATATATCAGAGAGATTTCTGTGTTCCCCAAAAGAATTTTAACTTTTCAGATGTAAAAGAAAACTGTCCCTGGGGTATGGCATGGTTAGGCAGTATGTAGATTTGATTATGCTTAGCATACCTGATGGTAAAGGATCCCTAAGCTTTCACTGGGCCCTCTCCTCCCACAGGGATACCACAGTGTACCCTTCTCAATATGCAAAACTTAGCTTTTGCTCTTCTGTTCAAAAGAAGCTTTAGCTTTCTCCCTAAGTTCATTCTCCAGTTCTAATCTCCTTATGAGAGCAATCACTGTTTGCATTCTGAATTTTGGACTCTATACTGATTGAAAGAAGGCCCATTGTTAGAGGTATTAGCACCGTTTTGTTCTTGCTCACAATAGGGCTGATAAAGTAAAACCAAGTTATTTTCTTGAGCATTCTCTCTACAGCAATCAGGCCAGGGAGGACTGTACCTTTGCAAATATTTGTGATGAAATGAAATAGATTGAATATCTTTTTTTTTTTTTTTTTTTTTAACTGTTTAGTATGGAATAAAACCTCTGTGAAATTCTTAAATGATACTTTGTCAATTTTGTATTCTCTCCCTTTTTTACAAATGTGCATACACAGGGAAGAAACTCCTTTTCTTCCATTTGGAGTTGTGACCTGTGTGTGGTATTTTTGTAAGCTTAATTGAATAACATATTAATGATTAATCACCAACACAAATCTATGGCAAATAAAACCTTTACCCCTTCAATTTTCCTATCTCTAGGAACACCGGTATGTCAGCCTCTGGTCAGCCACTTAGCAGATAAGTATAAAGAGTGTACAAGAGGCACACTAATCTCAACTGGCATTTTACTGTTCTGAACACAGTTTGTACAGTCAAACTAATTGGCTGTAAAATACACTAAATGACCTGTTTCATCTAATGGGTGAAGCAATTGTGCTTATAACTTGCAAAGCACATTGAGGACCAAAGAAATCTTAGAATTTGTTATACATACACAGTTCTCTCAAACTATGCTAATATTAGGAGAAAGTTTATATATAAATACTGCTTTGCATATTGATAGAGTACAGTTGAGTTTTGATTTTTGTTGAAATTGTGTATCTTTAAAATAACTTATGTCTCATGTTTGTATAGTTGAAGAGCCAGCTGATCAGATGTGGTCAAATACTGCAAAAGTAGCTTTCTGAATATGTTGCCAGAGCTGGGCTTTGTTGTTTTTTCATGTCTTGTGTTCAGAAGCTTGTAAAGCTTAACAACTCCTTGATAGGACAGGATGAACAAAGTTTATGAAATAGGTGAATTCACCAGAGTAAATGTCTGGTAGGGTACATGTAATATAGTTGGAAACTTATTGAAAGAGCAATGCTGTGTTTTTAATCAACTAAAAGCTCTTTGTTGATGATGTCTACTTGAAAAACTGGGTGGTTTTTGTTTTTTAAATAAGAAAAAAATATCTAAGTGGTTTATCAGTTGAATGGCACTAACCAGCTTAGCAGCTGAGTATTGTATAAATGCATACGTTTATGCAAAATTGATTATCACTTGAGAGAATCAGAAAAGACCATGAAACAGGATGAATTTACTATTCTGTTTCTAAATCAAAAAGTCCAGGGAAAAAAAGAAAGAATTAAAAGTCTTTTCTTTAGTCTAATTAGTGGTAAAGAAGGCAGCATCTGGTTTTAAGAGAAACAACAAATATTTCTGTAAAGATTCAACTGTTTAATACTAAATATTAATTAGAACTCCAGGAACGGATCTGCCACTGGCTGCTGGAGTTGGAAAAAACATACACAGCAGCATGTCAGATAAACAGGTTGGTGCGTAGCAGAGAAAAAGCCAAAAGAACTTTGCATCCCATCCAGCTCCATATCGTGCCCTGGGGTACTTTGCTATCAGGGCATGTTCCATGCATTTCACGACCTTAGAAATATCAGAGTCACACAGTCTTCTCACTGATAATCTTTGAGCTTTTATATCTGTAAAGAAGAAAATAAATCTGAAAGCATTTGTGTAACATTTTCTGATAGAAGATTTTTTACATTCAAAGGTATGACTGCAACTTCTGTAGATGTATTCAGGCTTGCTTTAAACTACTGGATCAAGTACTGAGAGCAGTGTAGCTACAGCAGAGCAGAGACCAGCAAGGGATGCAGAACAGTCAAGAACCAGGTAAAAACAAACCTCCTTAGCCCATATTGTAGGCTAGAAGTTGCCCACTGTAATGCAAGTTTGGTAAGCCAAACTCTTATAAATATGACTGTAGTAGTTATTTGCTCCTTAGGCATTTTGCCCCTAAGTGTGTAAGGACTAAGAATAGTACCAAGATCATCCCACTGATCTTACAGGGGAACTAGTAGCATAGGCCTTATCTAACGTACATGTATTCTAGAAGAGTCATCAATGGTTTATTAAACAAAGTTAATGAAATACAACAAACATTATTTTTGTACTTACATTCAACAAAATATTTTTCTCCATAGGCATCTCTGATCTCAGGAGTCAGTCTGTTCCAAAGTCTTAAGAGGTCTCTCTCAATGATATCTGAACTAACTATTCCTGTCTTAAAGAAACCGTGCTCTATAATGCTTACTTTCACTCCAAAATGCTGAATCTCTATCCTAGGAAAAACAACAACAACAACAATGACAAAAAACACAATGATGATCTAATATTGGCATAATTACTAAACACAAGTCAGTAGAGAGTGTTGCATTAATGAATAATTAAGACTTACATTCTTCTTATATCACAATAATTCTATTCTGCCTATCATTGTAAAAATGTAGCAGGCAAGTAAGTGAGAAACAAGTCAGTATCCGGTAGAGTCCCAGATATTCTGTGTGGTTTGTTCTGAACTGGTGTAGGAGATGTGACAGCCAGCTCCATCTGAATCATGTATTACCAAACTGAAACTTTGACCATTTCAGAAACTGCTGTGTCATTCCAGCTGCTAATATTTTAGTAGCAGAAACAGATTATAAAGCCTGGAAAAAAAGGTGTAAATGATCAAAATTATTTGGTTGGATTAGAACCCTATATTCAGTTATGTCGTTAAATGATTACAGTTAAATTGTTAAATGTTGCTGCTGTAAAAGTTACTTTGTTTTTTGACAGTAGGATTCCCTCTGTGTAATTTGAGCTGCAGTGCAGCTCTTTTAGCATGTAAATGGGCCCTTTATCCTATAGGACAATTTCAGAGACTTATGGTGCTACATTCCAAAGAACGTGAGGATTTAATAAATACTAGTGTTTAAGTCTATGTAACCTTGCTGTATATAAGCATTCACAAAGGTTTGCAACCAACCTTCTTAGTGTTTGTGAGGACAATACTCATCTGAGTAGGCCTCAGCTGCAGCAAGGCAGTGCAGCACAGCTGTGCAGGCTGCTCAGCAGACTTTTCTGAAGTTATAATAGTCTAATTGCTGCTTAGAATCACCCAGCTTGGCCTGTTAGTGGCAACGGAGGTGAAGTGGAACATTTGTGACATAGGAAAGTCATAGTTGTTTTATGCATATATAAAGTCATAATTGTTATGAGCATAAGGAGATGGTTTTAGCTTGAGATGGGAAGGTCTACACATATTGTTGGTATTTTACTGTGTGGAAAAAAATAATGTATAAGGCATATAGATTAACTATAATGCTTTATTAAATAGGAAGAAAGAGTGCTCCCTTACTGAATTTTATGTAAACATACAAAGCTTTCTGCTTACCTGCTTACCACAGCTCCGCAAAAATACATTTGTAAGGGAAATTTAAATCTAATAGCAGCAGGATCTTGGACCTGTATTTCACTGAGTTATGAAAGGATAAAACGATAAAGGATGCAGAGTAGGACCAGCAAAAGAGGATGAACATTGAAGACCCCAGAGTCTGAGAATCAGACCCCTGCTGCAACGTTAAACATCTCCAACCCATTTCTGGTTCTGGACTGGGCTGTAAGCGCCTGGAGATGGGTCTCGCAGACTTCAGCAGGTTGAGAGCACTCAGCAAATCTGTTTATTGTAACTCTACAATGCTAGTAGTTATGATTCTATGGTGCTAAATTTATTAGGGTTATTTACTGTGAATTATCGTACTTAATTGTAATCACATACTGCCAAATTTAAACAAATCTAACTGACCTAATTGTATCTACTATTGCCATGCTTTAGCTATTGCAATTAATGCAAGCCATTTAAGGTATGGCAATACTTCAGATAGTAACATTTTCTTTTCTCCTCACTGTGTTGAGTATCAGTGCCATTATTTTGCTTTTTTATTTCCATATTTTTAAAAAGAAACTCTGTTGTGTATGTGCATGTACACTTTTCTAATCCTTATGCAATCATGGGACATGTCCAGGATTCTCCTGCCTCACGTATGTCTGCGAGTCTAATATTTACCAAGCACCATGTAAACAGTAAGTACAACTTGCCCAGGAAGATCTGGATATTTGTCCAGGCTATACTGTTGATTTACTTGTGTATATACAGTGGGTTTATGTGTCCTATGGCTACGTGCTTGCTATTTGCACAGAATATGCAAGCACTTTCCAGTGCAGTTCCCCAGTTTCCAGTTCTGTATTACCGGAGATAGAAATCGCAAAGAAATGACCAACATCATTGCCTTTTTATTTCTTCCTTTAAGGAAGATTGCAAGGGGAAAAAAAGGCAAACATACAGTCACTTTCCTTAAAAAAATATTTAGAATCCATTTTTTAATTCATATACATGTTTCTAACAACTCACCGTAGAATGTCAGAGAAAGCTTCCATTCCCCATTTGGACAGGCTGTGGCCACCTCCTACAAGTGCCACAAGGCCTTTGGCGTTGATGAGATTGACTATTCTTCCTTCAGCTTTTTTCAGAAGCGGTAGAAGTTTCAGGGTGATTTCAATCAATCCTATTAGACTAACCTCCAGAACTGAGTGGAAATCTTCTATCCTTAGCCAGTCAGTGGGTGCCAGAGGGGCTGTTCCTTCAGCATTGTTTACCAAGCCAAAAAGCCCTACAAAGATTCCAAAAATATCTCTTTCAGTGTGTGGCACTATCCTACCTGCTGAGTAGGATTTCATGTGTAGCATTAGGAACCAAGCACAGACTCCACAAACATTTCAGTGAGATGCATACAGATAACTGGGATTTGTTTCTAAGTATCTGGCTCTATGCTGTGTTCCTGGCAAAAATTTTGAAGAGCCTATGCAATGACTAAATGAGAATGGGTAGAGCACTAAAAACTTATTTCAGGTGGAGAGATGGGCCATCATGTTGGGCTCTACTGCCCTGATCTACTGAGGTATGTTGGCTCTTGCTATGCACACACTTTCTGTGAAAATCAGATAATACACATAGAAGTGAAGAGACTGAATATTTTTCTATGTTGCAGTCTAAAGTCTAAATTAGACATATAGAATTAGTCAGTACTTCTAAAAATATTAGCTTAACCTTGTGCAATGATAATACTGCTTTACTACCTTATAAATTACTTGAGGAGGTTTAGATAAGTAGTGACACTTCTAAGAGTTTTCTGGGAACAGCCTGTCCCTCGAGGGAGAGGCTGAAGGGTCAGTGCTCAGTGTCGTTGAAGAGTTGCTCAGAAGGAGGAGAGTGTTAGCAGTGGTTAATTGGACTGAGAAGGTTCCACTTCCCACAACTTGAAGCAGAGGCCTGCTTGAAGAAAAACTTCTGAAGAGGTAAGTTCTAGTAATTACTTTATTCTTGCCCTCATTCATTCTACTTTAAAAATGCCTGGGACTTTCCATGAAGAACAAGTGTTTTATAAGCTTGGAGGAAAAAGGCCTACTGATACAAGATGCTGTTTTAAGAAATTAATGAATTAACCATCTTATCAAATATTTAGGACAATTGTTTATTACATGAGGTAGTTGCAGTGCTATATTCCCCTTTGGTTACGCTTAGTAATGTCTTGTCTGAACTAGTGGCACTGTAAAAGAAAGGCACATCACAAATGTATATATTTACCAAACTCCTGTTTACCTTTTATTACACTTCACACACACAAAAAATCTGCTGTTGAGTCATGTTTTTAAACCCACTCATAGGTATCCAAGGACAAACTCTTCCATTTTGTTTTAGACAAGTGCTTGGAGGTATATGATGGCAGTATTGAGAACTACCTCTATAACAAAAGAAAACAAAATGCTGAAATAAAAACTATTTGTTACAGTCAGTGTGACTGTTGTGTACATTGCAAAAATCAAACTCACTTAATCCTGCAAAAAACACCCTCTTTTTCTTCCTAGAGGAAGAAGAAATGAGCCTGTGCCAGCTATTTTCTACTGGTTGGGCTGACTTTCTGGTCAGGGAAGTTCCTTGAGGTACCTCTCTCCCAGGTGAAACTCTTAAATCGTAGCAGAAAAAAATTGAAAAACATGTAGTAATGGTCTGGTTTTAACAGTTTGAACAACTAGATTTTTAGGCTCTCTGTTGGTAGAAGTGCAGTCAGAAGCATTGCTGGAGACAGGCTTTGTGAACTCGGATGGCTTATGAGTCAGAACTGGGGAATGAACCTGCTCCCTCGGGGAGAGGAGCCCTCCTATGCAGATAGTGGGGAGGCTCCAGAACTCTTAGCCCAGTTACCCTTGGTTATACTGGAGCATTTTTTTATGGGCACCAACCTTATCACTTACCCTTTCCAGCAGTTTCTTCTGTCACAAATAACACAGCCCTAGTAATGCTGCTGGAGTCAGCCAAGTTCAGGTTCACTGTCTTTAGTGACGGTGAGCAGCAGGACTGCAGGTCTTGCCTTCCTCTTTCTGTGGCGCACGCAGCAATGACTGGAAACCCCCTTTTGTCAAGCCATTTAGCCAGTGAGTTTCCCAGGCCAGTGTCACAGCTTGTTATGAAGATGTGCTTTCCACTCAGGTCTCTTACTCGAAGCCTGTCTCTGACGAGACAGTAAATGATAAACGAAAGCATGGACGCCAGAATTCCTACGTGCAGTGAGCCTGAAAGCGAGAACTATGAGCAGATAGTTACTGGTCTAGAAATACAAAGGACTAAACATGCTCAGCCAGTGCCCCAGCTGCCTTAGACACGGTTCCAAGTGCAGGACTTTGTTGCTGCTTGCAGCCCTTCCAGCTCTCTGGAAGACCGCTGCTGGGGCAGCAGCTTTGGCGCAGTGTCACTGGTACCCGTGAATAATAGATGCCTTGGCAAAAACTTCTCTTGACCTCATTTTCAGTAGGTTTCTGCTCTTTTCAAGCTTTGCCTGCCAATCTGCCTTGTCCACACCATCCTGTCTGGAGGTTTTGGACTGAAAGAAACTATTGTGTCAACTTTCCATCGCCCTAGTCACCACCGTTTTTTTTTTCTCTCTCAATACTGGTCATTAGTTGTTCTAATACTGGAAAAGAGGAGTTTTTCTGGGAAGGAGGACAACTGTCTGATAATCTGTATTATGCTTCTGGAGGTACTCTTCTAATTTGCAATGTGGAAGCAGAGTGACCCCCAGAATGTCTAGAAAAGCCTAAGCAGTAATGGTGGGTCTGCTGACTACTTTGTTGTGAGATTTGTGTTGTGTGTGATGACAAGCTATTTTTTAGGTCAGTGCTGGAGTCTTCTGCATCTCTTTCTGTCATTATTCCCTGTTCAGTGCTGATGCACAGTGAAGTGGAATACATAGTGAGAACTGTGTATTTGTATAAATAAACGGGGAAATGCATGTGAATGTTGTCTTCAAGAGGAAGCAGTGAGGAAATGCACAATTTCTAAACCCTAGTGGAGAGGATACAGCTTGCTACTAGATGCTACTATTTGCCAAGGTAAACATAGAATACTATTCTCAACAAGCTAAAATCTTCCTTATTAACAACTACTGGCTTTCTATTTGTATTTTCTGGTTTGTGCAAGAGCTAGAACAAAATAATTAATTACAGTGTACCTTTATGTACATTTATGAGAAGGTTAATCAACATTTTCCAGTCTAATGTTCGTACATCCTGCCAGAGAAACTTTTCTTCATAGATGGTGAGGAACGACGGGCTCTAGTTAGGCACATAGATACAGAGAGGTGGAGACATCTAGCCTTTAAAACTAAAAGAGTGAATTAAAACATTCATTTTCATTCAAATCATTCATTTAAAATTCTAGTACTTCCAGTATTTAAGCATAATCATAGAGGAAGAGATTTTTCTTTTATATTCTTCTATAATTGGAGTTTTCTAGAGTTAAAGCATTCTTTCGGATGATTGTTCTGTGACAGCCTTACTATCTGAATATTAAAGGAAATCTAATGTATTAGCCCTAGTTCCTGGAGCCTTTCTTGTTTTTTTGTTCCTACTGAGTTGTTGGAGTAATTTGGATTTACTCTAGTTTTTATATTTCACTGTCATTTAGGCAAGTAGAGGTGACTAAGAGCATTGTTTTAGAATGTGACAGTGAATTAATGTTGGATTCTAACAAAATTAATCAAAGTTGATACTCTGTATTCATACCCACCTAATGATCTTATTTTACATATTTGGATGTTTTGTTGGCCCTGGTGTTTGATCTATGAGCAACTGGTTAACTTTATCTGGTTTTAAAATCTTAAGCAAATGCAAAATATTTGAGAGCGCGCTTCCCCTTCCAGTGCAATTCACAGAAGGGCTCCCACTCATTTTTGGGGGAGGCATTAGAATTAGTCCTGAGCTGCACTGGAGATCTGTAAACTCTTAGGTTACTGAGCCAGTAAAGCAGAATAAAGAAATTGAGCAAAGAAAGTTTCTGCATGTTGTGAAGTACCTAGCACTTTATTCAGACCCTGTAGGTGCTTGAGTAAGCAGCAGTTAGTTAAAATCCCTCTAGAAGAAAACAGACTAGAGGTAATCTTGTGTGTACACTGAAACAGGTACTTCATTTCTTCTCTTAGCTATTCTACAGATACACGTTGCTTTTACTACTCACTAGCGCGTTAGACGTGAGCTCTCTTTCGCTCTGGTACTCACATTCAGGGGTGACATCTGCAAGCTCTCACTAGGTTTCCAGGTGCTCACGAGTTGCCTTTTACGGTTGCTTCCAGTCTCAGAGTTGAATCAAACTCATACACTTGCTCAACTAAACTTGCACAGCGATAGGTTAGAGAAAAATCTCACTGTAAATTTTGTCTGGTGCTTTGTGGTCACTGTGCAAACGCTGACAAGTGTGGCCAGCTTCCCTGCTACTGGTTCTGACTTCTGCTCTGAGGCTTCTCTCTTCGTGACTTCCTCGGTATTAATCTTACATGTATGCTATGTGCCTGCCTTTTCTGCCTCATTGTATAGGCATTGGTGGCCTATATATAGTAATCTACAAAGCCTGGGCACTGTCAAGGCTCATTACCGAGAACTAATCTACTCAGCTAGGCAGGAATGATCTGCTGCTTATGTTAAAATTGCCAAGAGTCTTTCCATTGTTTTAAAAGGAATTGGGTCAGTGCTTCCCAGCTGAGACCACTGCTGCCATTTTTTCCTCTTTATGTGAGCAAGTTATTATTGGCATGATTTGATCCTTTGGGGACAAAAGTTGGGGAAAATAATACCTTGTTTGGCAAGCTTAGGAGCTTTTTTCTTTTTTTATAATAGTCTAGGTGGCAGCCTTGTTATATTTGAAACAAATCAGTTTCCAAACAACATTTTTCAAAGAAAAGCTTAAGTTCTACCAAATATGCAAAACCTACAGTTTGCATGAGAGAAGACTCTAATGTATGACTCATAGACTGCTTCATTTGTTCATTTATTACTTGGCCCAGACTTTGCTGAGTACTTCTGATCCAACTGATAAGAAAATCCCTACTAAAATCCCTGCTTCTTTTGCCACTTGGTGACAGAGCCCAGCTCGGGTGCGGGCTGCTATCACCCTTGCAGCACTCTGTAGAGAGTCAGTAGAGAAGTGTGACTTGCTGGAGACTTGGAGCCAGTGCACATGCTTTTTAACAGGCGACTAGCGTATATTTCTCCCCTAGCACAAATCTAGCAGATGTTCTTGTCAGGGCTGCCCAGTCCTGTCCGAACTGATTCGAGTGACAGGCTGCTCTCCAGATTGGTTGAGGGGAGTGCAGAACGGCTGCCTGCAGTCAGCAGTGGATTGCTTCTCTAGGGCTAAGGCTACATTGTGTTCTCAAGACAGCATTATTACTAACAACCTGTTTATTAACTACCTTTATGACATGTGGCAGTCCTTTGCCACATAAATATAGGAGGGAAAAAAAGAAATTTTCTGATGGCTTTATTCTCTGGATCCTGCTTTTGAATTGTAGAAAATTCATCTGCTTCAGAAAGCAAATCCAGCTCCAGCATCTCAGAAAACACTGAAACACAGCATCCTTTCGCACAGAGGATTTCTTACTTGCTGGGAGCACGTTATTTGAGGGGAACATAACAGAAGACAAATTATCTAAGCAAAATGTGAGCTTTCTATTACAGCCTGTCATGAGGCAGTCTTACATATACACCACACAGTACAGCATTTGAATGTCTGATTTTGGATCCATAGCGGCATTTCTTAATGAAATCCCTGACTCCTAGAAAGAACATGGAAAAATGACACTGCTTAAAACATACCATTGAGAACAGAACTGAGATTCTCAAGTGAAAAAACAAGAAACTACTATCATTCCTGCTTCATAAATACAAATTTTGAAGCATAATTTTATATATTGGTTCCAACAAACTAACAGAAGTTGGATCTTATGGGTGCAGTCCCTGAGTGTGTTCTGACTTAACATCTGACTTTGTACAAGTCACCAGTTATCTCCTGAGTGAGACTTCTAGTCTCTAAAACAAAACATATTTACATATGACAGTATGTAATGCACACGTGTCTTTTACCTTGTGAGCCTTCACCTAGCCTTGTGAGCTAGCAGGACATGTTGCGTTTTACTCTTTTTGGAAGTCGCTGGGTTTTGTTCTTGTTTTCTTGGTTGACTTTTGAGTAAATAAAGCCTGTGATTCCAGGGCAGAAAATTCGAGCAGAATCTGATCCTTTATACAGTGAAACATGTCTTAGGAATACATTGAACGCCTGATGTTTTTCCTCCTTTTATAATTTAAATAGATTTACAATTTGTGTATATTTACAGGGGCCAAGAATTTCACTGAAAGGTATGGACTGATCTCTTGTCTGAATAGCTAATACATCATACAGATTTTTGACAGGGAAGTCACTAGCTCACATGAGAGCTCTACAGTAGCCTTTCACTTAAATGTTAAATAGGAAAACTTGTTTTTATCTCACTTTTCTTGACAGTCTCAATTTTAAAAATAAAATCTCAAATAGCAGAGCCATCAGTATTTCAGTAGGAGTAGCTAGTTCAGAGGTGTCCATCCCAAGCCTGCTCAAGAAGGAATAACTTTTCAGAAAGCTGAGATGCTATAAATCAAAGGAACATGCTAAAGCCTAAGTGTAAACTGTGCTGTGAAAAACAGAATAACACTTTGCAAGCTCCAAGGAAGACAGATTGACAACCGGCAATATTTAGATTGCTGCTGGGTAGCTTGCTGTTTAGCCTGATAATGTCGCTGCAAATTCACCAGCATGAAGAAAGCATTTGTGAAGAGAGCATTTGTTCCATCACTGAGTAGTTTCCATGGCAGTAGGAAATGACTTTCTGAGCAGTGTGCAGTTTCAGGCCTGGCAGAGGGGCCTCTGCTGTTCTCAAACATTTTGTCATGATTAATTCTAATGGAGCTAGATCTTAGAAGGCATTTGTGTGGGAATTTAACAGGAAAAATTAAAGTCTCCCTGCAGGAATTACTCATCATCTCACAAAAACAAGGCTATTATTTTTATGCCAGAAAGTAACTTCCAGACACGAAGTGCTGCCAGTTTAGATTTAAAAACAAACCAAAAATACTCTTAGCTCTTCAATATGGTGGGTAGTGGGCTCTTCTCTTGTCTTTGCTAGAGTCTGCAATCTAAGTTCAAAGCAATGAGCCCTTTGCAATACAGAAGTAGCTGGACTGACAGGATTTTACTGTGCTGACCAAGGAGCTGCCTTACCTAAGCCCTATAAAACCATGTGGCTGGAAGGGGTGTGTGGATCCCTGCTATCTTGAGGATGTAGGACACTTTGTTTTGCTCTCTCTCTAGTTAGGATTGCACCTAGCGAAGGCACCCACAGTTTTCTTGATTTCAAAATTAAATAGGAGTGACTCTACTAAAAAAAGTAGCCTCAGGAAGAGGATTTTACCCTCCTTGCTAGTTTGTTTTGCAGGAGTTCCGCAGAGGTTTCTCCCACAGTAAGGCCATATTTCCATTCTTTCCTCTGACTGAAAAGACTTATCTTCCCGTTTTAGGAGACTGAAAGCTACTTTCCCTGGCTTCCTAGGATACTTTAAGAGTGATTTATGGAACTTACGGAGCCTTAAGGATTCTCAAATTGACCACCCAAAATTTGGAGGAACTAAAAAAATCCAATAATTCCTGAAAGTTTAATAATGACTTTGTTCTCTGGCTTATGTTTTAGGAATCAAGTAAAAATAATGATAAAAGGTTTATTATGTTTTTAATAGTAGCAGTTACTGGATAGATATTTTTTTACACCCTATTTCCTTTACATAAATGTATTTCCAGTACAATTTGGCTCATGTTGAAATAAAAGACAAGTTGTCTTTGTGATGAGATTTGGGGTTATCATCTGGGATTATACTGGCAAAGATGTCACTCTGCCTGTGAAGCTGCAAGCTCTGCTCTGTTTCTCAGAAGAAAGAAGTCTTGTACAGCTGCAGGCATTTTGGAAAGGGGGTTCCAAAAAACCTTAGCATCCCTCCCAACAACGTAACAGGTGCAAGGGTGGCGGCTCGTCAGGGCATGTTCCATACACCGAACAACTGATGAAATGTCTCTGTTAAGACACATCTTGGACAGCTTTTCTTTCTTTGCTGCATCTGTAAAATTTAAAAAAAAAAAAAAAAAATGTTTAGTGACTGCCAGAACAGTTAACCCCTCCCTCCACACTTGCTTGTGCAGTTTCATTGGTTTCTCCCTAGGCAAAAATTCCTAGCAGTTTCTGAGATTCACGTCCCCTGCCCATGATGTATTTGGGATATAGTTTACTCCAAGAACAGTCTGGCTACTCTGAGCTTTGGAATAGTCATGGCAAAGACTGTATTGCCTCAGGCCAGGTAACTAGTCTTGGCAATTGCTCAGAATAAATATAAATATGTCAGGTGCAGAGGAAAGTAGTAATACAGACACAGTTCTTGAATGACTTCATCACCACTGGGGCTAATAGGAACAGAGGCTGTTAATCCCTATTTGGTTACTAGATAAATGAAGACGATGACAGAAAAGCATATTGATCCACACTGGAATCATCATATAAATGTGTTTCGACTTGGAAGTTTGCTCAAGAGCCACAAGCTAGCACAAAGAATTGATATTTAACCGAGATTTGAATGACGTGTCACAGGTATAAAACAACAATTCTTTCCTCTGTGTGGATAGCCATATTGTGATTATGCAGAAGCATTCAAGCCATAACTTTTTATAGCATACTATTTCCAACAACTCAGAATGACAGAAGACATGATGCAATTTTGTAAGTCTATTTAGCAAGTATTTTGGTTCTTTTAAAATTGCCTCACCGTTCTTAAAATACTCATCTCCGTATTGCTTTTTAATACTAGGAGGAAGCTGATCCCAGATAATCTCCTTTTCTTCCATAATCCTTGTTGAATTTGATAATGCTGTTTTGAACAGTCCAGGTTCAATGCAGGAAACTTTAACTCCAAAAGCTTTCATGTCTCTCCTACAAAGACAGCCCAAAGATTTCATCACATTAAATTTTCTAATTAGTAGTGTTTCTCCTGTACTCTTGACTATATTTCTATCTTTGTGTGGCGCATGAGCACACATGCACTGCACAATAAACAAGTGTGTGAACTTCCTGTTTGTCTCAAAGTTCAGTCTCAAATGAGAGAGACCTGAGCTATCTTGTCTTTTTCTCAGGGGGAGAGCATGTATGGGCAGTGACTATGTCATAGCAGACATATCTGATTTCATATCCTATCTTACCTTTCAGTAGCTTGTTAGTTATTAAGTTTATCCATGAGACTGTCTGGCTGCCTAAATGCACGTGTTTAGAGCCATTTCTAATGTCTTAGTGGGTCTCACTTAGCCTCCAGCTGGTGCTTGATATCCATGCAGTTCTTCCTGGCCTTGTGTCATGCCTGTAAGGATCTCACATGCCTGCTGGTATCTAAAATGACACTCAGTATGTGGGCACACAAACTGTTTCCGGTATTACATGAAGAAGCCATGATAGTCCCTAGGATTGGGTTACTGTGTTCTCCAGCTGTCTCTAATGATCAGGATAATAAGGAAATGAGACCTGAGGACAAAGCTAGGACTAAAGTGAATATCAAATTAATATCAGTAACTCCTGATGGTGGGTGTTCTGTTGTAGTGTGTTTCTGTGTTTGTGTTTTTTAAGGGGCCTGGTCTGCTGCTTTCTGAGTGCTTGGTTTCCTTGATCTGAGCCCCCTCTGCAGAAAAGAGCACTAGCTACGCCATGGAAACACTTCAGGACATTTTGTGTGCCCGGCAGAGCTTCTATCTTATTCCTCAAAAATGGCATAATACGTGCTGAGCAAAGGCATATATGGTGGCAGGGGGAAGTGGTCTTTGATCTCTGTGAGTGTTGTACCTTAAACTGTCATTAAATGCTTCTACCCCAAATTTTGAAGGGGAGTAGCCTCCACTGCTGAATGCTATGCGACCTCCAATGCTGGATACATTTACTATTCTTCCCTTTGCTTTCTTTATCAAGGGAAGCATATTTATTGTGACATTTATGAGCCCAATTAAGTTAACTTCAATTGGTTCTCTGAAGTGCTTGATATCCAACCAGTCTGTGGGAGCTAAGAGCCCCATGATCCCAGCATTATTTACAAGTCCCCAAAGACCTGCAGAGAAAGAAAGAAGAAAATTAGGAAGCAAATTTTCACATAAAGTGTTAGATTGATTGAACTATGTAACTTTATGGATAATGGGTGAGGGACCAAGTGGGCCACCAAGTTTCACAGAGGAATTGCTTGGGGATGTCCTGGGGCACACAGCTTTATACTTGGTTTCCTGTTGTCTTTGTGTCTGAATTTTATCACCATGTTCTCTAGCACCCTTTACAATCTCTGCTTTTTTTTTTTTTTTTTTTTTTTTTCCCCTCCCTCCTCTCCTTTATGGGGGAGAAGGTCAGTAGAGGAAAGCTCGGGGAAGAGCAGTTATATGGGAAAGCAGGAATTGTGCAGGGAATAGACCTGGTCTGTTTGCAAGTTTTGTGTTGTTTGTTTATTTATTTTTTAAAAAAGGAAAGGTCATCATTTCCAGGGCTAGAATACATCTAGTTAACAAAACCAAGCTCAATCTCTTTTTTTTTTTTTTTTTTTTGTGTATATGATATGTATTCTCTTGGGCTCTTTGGTTTTTTTTTTTTTTTTTAAATGCTTTTTAGACCTTTAAAAGCAATGACTGAGAAGATTTCAGCTATTACTTTTTTCTCCCATGGACATTTCTGTTGGGATAGAGAGCTTATGTCTTACACTGAATGACATCATCATTCTACTAGAAATGGAAGATATTTATAATATTATTTATATTATCTATTTACAAATTTTTAATGAACATCCATCTCTAAAAATGAGGTAGGGGCAGAGGGAAAATAAGCTATATCTATTTGCTAAACATTTCTGTGCCTCAGAAATGGGAAGATGTGAAAACTTAAAAGCCAGCTCTTTTCTTGCATTGACCATTTAAGCTGTGCAAATGAATAGTATATTCAATTTGACCTCAGTCATAGTTTTTCATAGGCAGAGGGAGTATCACTTTGGCTTGAAACCAAGTAAGGTTTCAAGTAAAAGCAATCTGTACAAGTTTATAAGCTCACTTAGAAAGAAACTGTCAAATGTTAAGTATAATTGGTACTATGGCCCATAATAGACCAGATTTAAGGCTCCAGGTTAGCAGAATCCAGCCCTTGGGATTTGTATACCCTTGCAAACTCTGTGGCAATACTGGTCCTACTAAAATCAGTTGGCATCAGTAACAGCCAATTTGTCTTGTAGAACTTATTGGGATCAGGGATATGGGATGCTGGGATTTTTTTTGTTTGTTTGTTTTTTTGATGGCATGTAAGCACTATTCCAAAATAGTAGTTATATGCAGAGTTATTCACTAGAGTTCAACTATATTTTTGCTCATGGCATAATGATTGTTTATAAGTCATACACATACTCAATTTTTAAAATAGCAATTATTTATTTCTATTAGGCAGAGATTGTGTTATTTGTTCCCTGTCCTGGTAATGCAGCTCAGGAAGTATGTAGCAAGGGTGACGGTTGGATTTGGGATTTTGTTGTTCTCAGATATCCTGGAACTAACCTTCGGACTGAACTTCATTTTTGATCCAAGCAGCCACTTCCTTAACACGGTCTGAATCTTTCACATCCAGCAGTACTGTCTGAAGCTTCTTGGAGGTCACTGCTGCCAGCTCTTTGGCTCCCTTTTCAGTCAGACAACCAGCAAAAACACGAAATCCCTTTTGATCAAAAGTCTTTGCTGCAAGATTTCCAAAGCCTGTGTCGCACCCAGTGATGAACATATATTTGCCAGCGAGATTTGTAACCTTCAGCTCATCTCTTGCCCTCCAATGCCACCATAGAAAAAAGATGCCAAGGAGGAGTAGTATATAGAAAAGCATTTTTACAGAAGTCTTCTGGGTGCTTTCTCCTGAAACAAAAAACAGCAACTGCTAGTTTTAAAAGTTGCTTTAGTTTTGTTTGTTTTTCCTCTTAATGAATATGCTAACCACAGCTATTGAGAGGAGCAGGCACAGTTCAGACAAGTTGCCTCCTTGTGCTAACACAGCAATAGCATTCTTGCTCCTGCAGAAATGAGGACTTGGGATATATTATAGTAGGGTTACGTAGAATAATGCATCTTAGGTTGCTAGGGCCAGTTTGCAACCACAGCTCCTAGGGAACGTGTCTGAGAGAAACACTGGAGAAGAGTAGCAAAGATGAAATGTTTGCAAAGGCCTGCATGGCAACCAGCTGAAATGTCTGAACATTGTGTCTATTCCTAGAAAACAGGAGAGTGTGACCCGGGAAAATTAGCAGCAATAGGCTATGCAGTATCAGTGGGAGCTGGAACCTTTCTCTTTGCTGTGGATTCTTAAGCAAGGGTAGGCAGGAAAAAAAAACATAATTAATTTTGCTAAAATTTTGGCTTTCTGTGCCAGACTGTTAAAAAGGAGGGTAACAGTACTACCACTTTGCCTCTCCAAGAGTAAATTCCCATCAATGCAGCTGTCCCTGAGAATGGACACTTCCCCTGCCAGGGTGAATGTCTGGCAGTATGATAACTTCAGTACCACAAAATGCAGGTGGGAAGAACCTACATAATGGGGCTAGTCAACATACCAAGAAGCAGCTGTGAATACCTTAACGTTATTGCAAGTCCTGTGGCTGCTTATACTGCCTGCTTACGTAAGTATGTGTGCTGGCTATAAATGCGGCCTATTGTCTAGAAGTTGCATGTGGTGTTGCAGAAATTTCAATGTAGACATGATAATTTTAGTTGCTTAACTTCCCTGCAGCATCAGGCCCAAAGAAAGTATGATTAAATAATGAGGGAACTGTTCTGCCTGTGTAGCATTTCACAGTTCCTTAGTTAAGAAAATGAAACATTTTTTGGATCTGAGTGCATGCATAACCGAATCAGCACCTTCTTGGCTGTTTTTCCTCCTTGTGTGACAATTATTAAAGTATATTTTTTTTAGGAAAACAATTCATTCTCTTTATTCTTTCTTTTGTTTAGAGTTTCCATATTTCTGTGGAATGCACACAGGAGAAAAGCATTAGCATGAAGTCCATCCTTGCTTTGCCTTCACCCTCTTTTGCAAATGTGAAGTTGTCACGGGGCCTTGACACCCCGCGGGTGCAGCCAGGGCCCCTCTGCTAAGGCCTGACAGGGCCCTGCCTGCTGGGGCCAAGCCGTGGGGCCTAGGGGAGGAGAACTGGGAAGGGAGGGACCCATTAGAGAAGGAAGAGACAGCATCATGAGCTACTTCAAATATAAAGTAGATATTAACTAAATAACCAGATAATTCACATTAGAAGAAGAAGAAGAAAGGTTATATAAATTGATCTTTAATCTTAAAAAAAGATATGTCAGCTCGACTCAAAAAGGTCTTAGCCTAGTGCATTGCACCCTCATCTTTGCCTGGGAACAGCCATGTCTACAGATATGTACCCCCGTTCCCCAGTCAGGAGTGCCATTTAGTTGCCTCTAGCCCCTGGGAGCTCTAATCAATGGCCTGGTGGGACTTTATACCAGTGCAGATATCTAGAGATAGCTGCAAGTAGTAGACCTGCTCTCAACAGGCCCAGCTTGCGGTGTAAAGATCCCCCCTCTGGCATTTTTTTTTGTTTTGTTTTGTTTTGTTTTTTTAAGGAGAGAGTCACAAAAAAAAAAAAAAAAAAAAAAAAAAANAAAAAAAAAAAAAAAAAAAAAAAAAGATCAAAAAAAGTCTAATTATGTTTTGCTCTAGTTTCCATCAGGCAAAGCAATAAGGGGCTCCTGTTCAAAAGCCCCAAGGGTCTTCGGCTGCCAACATTCAAATGTGTCCAACAAAATGGAGATCTGTAGAGCAAAGCAGACTCATTTGTCATCTAACAATTGTCATCTAACTATTGTCATCTAACAGCTGAGGTAAATAAGGGGCCTGGATACCCGAATGATGAGCTAGGCAGCTTCCGAAATATTCTCTGAAATATTTCCTGCCTCCCCAATATTTTGAGTCACTTAAGTGACTGTTCTTTTTCTGGTTCACATCATAAAGTCGGGGTCAGAATTTCTTAAGCTTCAGGACTTTCTGTGAGCATGAGTTGAGAGAAACGAAGGTTTGAATAGATGCAGAGCCCTTAAAGGGCAGTCTGTAGTCTCAGCTCCAATTCATCAGTGTCTAAATCCACTCCACTAGCAGAGTGAAGCAGGCCCTGCATATACTCTCTGAATGCTTAGATGGGCAAAGTCTTTCAAGTAAAAATGCTGAAGTAATTTGTGAAAAGGTTGAAGTAATCTGTGTAAAGCTAAAGGTAATGTACTGTGTTTGGCAAGCCCAGCCCTATCTGGACGTGCTAGACTTCACTGCATCCCAAACGTAAGCTCTGCTGGAGTACTGGGAAAGAAAAAGGCATTGCAACTTGCTGATCTTTGGCCTTTAGCTCCAGGAGAAGCTACCCGTGGGGAATGAAGTAATACGGAGTTCTGCTCTGTTTTCCATTCCCTCCACTCTTATGTCCAGCCCTCTAAATGATTTTTCTCTTCCTCTGACTGTAGGATAATTTGGACTAAGTAATTAGTGCTTTGAAGTTCTCTCTGCTGATGTTAATCTCACAGCTAGCTGTATGTGTGGGTCTAGATGTAGTCTTTTTTGTTACAAAAACTGGAGAAAACATGAGGTTTGTATTTGGTTACGTGGTCTCTGTATATACTAAAGTGAATGTTAAGTAAGGAAAGCAGAATTCCAATGAGCTACTTTTAATCAGGAAGCAGTTTTGTGCATTGAAACATTTCAAACTTGGAAAGTTTGAAAGCCCAGAGGAGCGAGGAGAGTTGACAGTCACTCCAATTAAAGCATTGCCTCTTTTGTCCTGTCAGATCAGTCAGGGCTGTCACTAGTGATAACTGGCCTCATCTCTGCTGTTTATTTGAAACTAAGCTATGTTTTCCAGTCACCTCCAAACTCTGTGGATGACACTGGCTGGGCTTATAGCATTGTCCTCCCCAAACTGTCCCACTGGGAAATCCGTGGCAGGCCTGTCTCCAGTGAGAAGTCACTACTAGGCAACAGTTTCCATTTTCCAAAATCTACATCATTCTAATGGGCAACGATAACATTTTAGACTCCATGAGGACAGGAAAAAGCTGTGGGTTGGAAAACCAAAGTTTGAAATAAATATGTGTATATATTTAATCTGAATTTAGATTAATCTCTGAACCAGTTTGCTTGCTGTTCACCAATACTTTAAATTGAACAAATCAACACTGAAAATTATATTTACTGCAGAGACAGTAGTGTACACTCAATTACTGTGTTGCTAAAGCAGTTCTGTTCTATAATTGATGAAGTGCCCTAACAGTCTCCTTCTATACATCTGTTGTGTGCAATTTTATTTATGCTTTAGAAGACACTTTGGTCTCCACCCATGGATCTGCTTTCCAAGTGTCCTGACTTGCTGTTGTGAGATTGCATTAGTCAAATTTAAACCCCCATTTAGATGTCAATGAACTGTAGCCATGATGACCGCACGGTTACTGACCCAGGTGCAAATAACCAATGCCCAATTTAAAGGTTAAATCCTTACAAATAGGTTACAATAATGAAATTGTGATGGGAAATGGCTGGGTGCATCACTGACTAGTTCAGCTGGATCCTTGCGATTTGTTTTATGATACATATTTTTTCACACTCTCAGGTAAGTAACAGATCCATCACGTTTAATGTTTCACAGTTAACTGATGAAACTTCCTGAAATGAAAGACGCCTTTCTGAACTGAAAAAGTCAGTTGTGAAATATATGTCACAGTGTTAAAATACACTGAAGAGCTAGCACTGAAATGAGACTTCCTCAACAGCAAATGTTGTATGATTATAATTACATAATGAATAGCTGAAAGGGGATGAGGCAGAGAGAGTAGTGACTTTGCTTTACTTTTCTTTTGCCCTCTTTGTAAATTTATAGGCTCTGGGATTTGTACCTGAGTGCCAGATTTGATAGTATGGTTCAAAGATTTGAGTATCACTAACTTTAAATCAAATTTGTAATTGCTGTGATTTTATTATGTGTTTTAAAGCTGCTGGAAGATGCATGTAAATATCATCTTCGTGTTTTGGATTTACTTTGCTAGTAGAATAGGAAATAGCATCAAATCTTTATTGCAGCAGGACACATGTTTTGATGATCCAGGTAACATTTACAATTGCAGTAACTTCAATATAAAGTCAAATTTGACTTGAAGCTCAGTTTTCTTATACAGTTGCATTATCGTGTAGTAAACAATGAAAGCAGTCAGTACCTGATCTAGAAGGAAATGATGGCTTCATGTTTAAGGACAAATTGCTAATAAAGTTATTATTGTGATGAATTATATTTTGCAGGAGAAAACAGGACTATATGGTTGCAGTTTTAATCTTCTGTATGTTACTAATTTAGCAAAAAGTATTTTTGCCATATGAACCCAAAATCTGAAAAACTGTAATAGAAAACAAGAAAATATTGCAGTCTTACTATTTTTATCATACTGATGTCTTTCTTTGAAATTTATTCATACTTTTTTTTTAAACTATGTCCTTCTTAAAACTGCTCAAATATATGTTTAAGTTTTAAAAAATTAGGAAACCTTAGGTTGTCTACATACAGAGCTTTCCATTGTCTCTCTCAACACTGTTAAACTTTTCAGATTTTGTAAAAGGCAAAAAGTCTGGGTTTTTTTGATCTCTTGCTCCAACTTTGCAACTGAATTGACACATTTTAGATATGTCACAGGAAGATTTATTTTAAACAAATATGCTTTCCCTTCTCCCCACTCAAATCTCAAGAATGTGAAAAATGACAAAACTGCCAAAAATGAGAAATTCTTTTTCTTAAAAAAACTTGTGTAACTTTAGCATGATTTGAACAAACATGTTCTGGCTCAGACTATTTTAGCTAATCAGCCACAGA